ATATTTCCATTATTTTTATTTATTTTTTCAGTTATATTTATATATTATTCTATTTTTTCTTTTCTATTTATTTTTTTTTTTAATATCTTTGACAGTAGTATAGTAAAATATATATAATCCTTACATATATATTCTTAATACATCACATATTCTATAATATTTTTAAATACTTTTATATCTTTTGTATTTTTACCCTTTTCTATTATTTTTAAAATTTTTTTCTTTTATATTTATATGTTTTTTCTATTATTAATATATCTGTTTTCACCAATTTTATTATTATATTATTTTAGTAATTTATTATTAATAACTATTTTATTATATCTATTATTTTTACATTTTTTTCTATTACTTTTTTTTTCAAATACATTGACATTTTTTTTCTATTTTCTTACAATATATTTTTTGATTATATCTTTTTTTAATTTTGGCAGTACAATAATTAAATGTATATAATCCTTATATAAATATTCTTAATACATCATATAATCTATAATATTCTTAAATTTTTTTATATATATTCTTTTATATATTCTAATATTTTTATTTTTTCTATTATTTTTATTTTTATCTATTACTTTTATTTTTTTGTCTACTATTTTTATATTTTTTTAAATTATTTTTGAAAATCCAAAGATCTAAGATCATAGTGTTCTGCTCTACTTGAAATCTATATCCCAATTTCAATATAGAATATATATACTATAATATATAAACTATATAAATACGTATGCAAAAAATTCTTTTTTGTTTATATACAACTTTTAATTCTATTTAATAAAGATTTTTATTTATTTATTTTTCTATTTATTTTAATTTAAGTGTAATTATATATATTTATAGTATTGTTATTGTTTAAATTTATTTTGTTTTATAAATAAACCATTTTTTATTTTTTAATATACATAATTATATTTAATTCGCCTTTTATGAAAACTATGAATCTTTCAAATTAAATACAATAATAATAATATTCATTAAATATTATACATATGCATTAATACATATTATGTTATACATATAAATATTATGTACATAACTGAATTCCACGACTCATTATATTTTACATATGGATAAAATTACATTATATATTATATTATATTGCAAAAGTTTAATTAAATCAAATTATATATTATAACAACAAACTATATCAATTGATCCTCATGGATTTTAATTTATTCCTTGATAATACAAGATAAAATAAGGCATCTAAATAAATACTCTAAAACTTTATAACTTCTAATAAAAAATACTTTCGGTCTTCAGTTTTCAACCTTCGTGTTGCGAATGTATATGGTTTCCTTCCTCTGCTTGAAATGCCATCTTTACCAAATTGTGGGCTACCGAAATATTTTGGTCTTGTTCCTCATATTTTGCAATATGTATAAATGTACATTATAATATAAACATTTTATAAATGCATATTATAGTGAAAAAAAAACAATTTTAAAATTTTAAGCGTTTTTATTTAATACAAAGAAAATATTTAGTTGGATGCGAAAATTCCGCAGACAATTATTGGAGAAAATTTTGACAAAACAAAACATTTAATGATTCTCAAAATTACATACTTAATTCATTATAATATTAATTATATTAAAATATAAAATTGAATTTAAAATATTAAATATTTTTTTATTTATGAAGCGAACAGTATGCATAAAATTTCACTTGAAAGCAGTGGGCGAAGTGAGTCGCGAGCACGAAAAACGGGCTAAATATGAAAATAAATCACGTTTTCTATAATAAAACCAAATTAAACATATATATTATATTAAATAATATTACAAAAATATCATTAAATAAAAGCATATTGTTAAATTTATATATATTTAATATTTTAAACTTATTCATAGAGTGCGCATATTCTAAATTAATGTATATAAAATTATAATTTTAATTTAACAGTTATTTAACTTTAATATTAGTTTTAAATTTTTTTTTTAATTCTTTTTTATTTTTTAAGAATTTTTTATTTTTTTTTGTTATAATTTTAATATAAGAATATTTGAAGTGCAAGCACATCAGTTAATTTTGAATCGAAAATAAATTTAAATAAAATATATAATAATTAAATTAATAACAATAACAAAGTAAATTACTGTAAAAAAAATATATATATAATAAAGTAAATCATATTTACAATAATATTATAAATAAAAAATATAATAAAATACTTAATAAAGTACATAAAATAATAAAATAAATAAACAAATAATTAACAGTAATATGGTAAATAATGATAATAAAATAAATAAACATAACATAATAATTAAAGTAAAAAAGAAATAATATATATAAAAATTTTCCAATAAAAAAAAAATAAAACAAAAAACAGAACAACAACAATAAAATAAAATTTTCTAGTAAAACAATTAATTATGATAAAAATATTAACTTTAAATAAAAAAGCATTAATAACGAAATAGTAATAATAAAACAAATAAAAAAAATATTTATATTAATATTAAAATAAAATAATAGCAATTGGAATAATAATGCATATGTAAAATAATTAATAATTAATAACAATTACATAAATAATAATAATTCAGAAATCAATAAAAATAAAATAAATACTTATAATAAAATAAATGTTTCTAATGAAATATGTCATTACAATGAAATAAATTATTATAATACAATATTAAATTATAATGAAATATAATTATAATTAAATATAATGATATAATAATATAATAAACAACAATTATAATAAAACAAATAATAGTAAATTAAAATAAAAAATAGTAGAATAAAATAACTAATAATTATAATACAATAAACAATAGTAACATATTATAAATAATAGTAAAATCAAATAAATAATAGTAAAATAAAATAAATAATGTTTATAATAAAATAAATAATAATTATAATAAAATAAATAATAGTAAAATAAAATAAATAATGTTTAAAATAAAATAAATAGTAGTAATATAAAATATTTAGTAAAATAAAATAAATACTAATTATAAGAAAATAAATTATAGTTACATTAAATAAATAATAATTATAAAAAATAGCAATAGTAAAATAAAATAAATAATAATAAAATAAAATAAATAACAGTAAAATAAAATAAAAATAACAACAAAATAAAAATAATAAAAGTAAAATTAATGAGAATAATAACAGTAATATCACTTAATTAATATTAAAAACGTAACATGAATAATGTAAATTATAATGAAATAATATTAATTAAGGAAATAAGATTAAAATAAATATCAATAAAATATATATACTTTTTCTATTAATTTGCTATTCTATTATAAAGTTTTCTAATACATTCAATTTGATTTAGTTTATATAATATATTTATATTATATTATATATGTATATATATTTTAAGATCTCATTATTAGTAGATTTTTTTTTATATATGATTTATGCTATCATTTGTAGATATTGATTTCAATTATTAAAAGTTAGGAATAGAAAAGAAATTGGATAAGAAATTAATTAATTAATTAAGAATTAATTAATTAATGTTAATGTCTTAATTAAATTAATTAATGTCTTATGTATTCGCAATGTTATAATTCTACTTTGTTTTGAATATATGGTACATTTTACATAATTACACTTTGTTTATATAACATTTTTTATATTATATATATATTATATATAATTCAAAAATATATAAATTAAATTGGGTCATTTAAACAATACATTTTTACTTATTAAATATTATATCACATTTATAAATTTAATATTATAATATATTTAAATGTTTATAAATTTTTTTCAAAATAAATTTAAAATTTTATTTAAAATAAAATTTCATTTTTTTTAATTATTTTTTTAAAAATTAGTGATAATAAGAATTTGAAAATTACAAATTTAGAATTTTATTTTTGTTAATTTTTTTTTTATTTTTATTTTATTTTATTATTTGTTTTTATTTTATATAAATTTTTTTTTTATTTTTAAGAAATAGAATATTTTGAATTTTTAATAAATTTTTTTATTCTTAATTAATTTTTTAAAAATTCGTTTAAACTTTTGTGAAGATCCAAAAATAATTGAATTATGTTCCATTATCAAACTGTTTCGCGCACGCTCAGCTAAACACAACCTTCCAAGAAGCTTTCCAATAAAAATGAGACAAACAAAAGAAGCTCTTAAATTTCGTTACTCTTAAGTGTTATTATTAAAATCTTTTAAGAGCAATTTTTTTTAAGTACTTTGTATATAAAATATATTTTGTACATAAAATAATTAGGCATATAATCCACTACATATAAATAAGCAAGAAAAAAATCAAAATATTTCTTAAATAAAACAAATTAAAAATAAGAAATTGAAAAGAAATTTAATATTTATAATATTTTAATGAATTCAATTAAAAATGAAATAATAATAAAAGCAAAATAGAGAAAAAAATCAAAAATGTTTTTAATCGAAAAAGCATAAATAAAAATATGTTTTACAATAAAAATAAAAATATTAAAAAAATTATAAACTACAGGTCTGAACTGTCAACGGGAATAACTTATAATTTTACTGGTTATTAATATTAAATAAATATTATTAAATATTAATATTCAATATATAAAATTTGTATAAT